CAATTTACAGGACGAACAGCGTTTAATCTGGAGCGTTTATGGACTTTTCTTCTAGCAGTTCTTATCCGTGAAGGGTGTGCATAAAAATATGTAGTAGTTTTTACACATTTGGACTGGAGAATTTCTCGTACAACAACAATAAAACCTTATCCCACTGGATGGAGAATCTATCTCGCAATTGCACTAAAAAAAAAAAAAATTAGTTAACAGGTTTACTATGATATTTGAAAAAAATATAAATTTGAAGTTTTTTGAACAAAGGAAGTGTAAGAATTGGGCCTCTACATTAAGTTGGAATGATAGATTAAATCTGTTCACTTCTTAGCTTAAATCCTGAAACCAGTTTTGCGGAGTCCTTGTTTGGTGGATATGCGGTGATTCTGAAGAAAGAAAAATTATTGATGATGATCAGTGACTTTTTCCATTGTAGGCAGAAGAGCTCTGTCTTCATGTCTCCATATATTCAAGTTACTTCATTTTTAGGATTACTTAGCTGAGAAATATCTGCTGCGTTAACTTTGGATTTCAGGTGTTAGGCGTTTAGTTGTGGTGGAAGCCGGGAGCAAGCGAGTAGAAGGCATTGTTTCACTGAGTGACATTTTCAAATTCTTCCTTGGTTAGCATAGAATGGGAAATGAAGAATTACAATGGATTGTCTAGTGGTTATGACACTTGTGCATATATTCAAGCAGCACCACCTGCTCAGCCATTTTAAAAGATTTCCAATGCCCCTCTTTTTTCTTTTTATTGGTAATTTGATCTCTTCCATTAAAAATATTATTGGATCGGCCTCTTGCTTCATTGCCTTGTTTTAATGATTTTAGGCTAGAGAAAGAGGTCTGTAACTTGAGAGTTAGGCCCCATTTTTATTGATCTGCCCCAGCCCTTGTTGTCGTCATTGTGCTCCCATTACAAAATACAAGAAAAATGGGAGCTTAAGATCTGTCGTCATACCGTACTATGAAGATCGGGGAAGATAATTTATGGGAGGAAGAATATTGCAATTCTTGTGTTTTGTATAGTTTATTTATGATCAGCTTTCGGTCTTTGAAATTGAAGGGGACTCCTTAGCTGGTACAATGTGATGTATTATTTTCTTCTCATTTTCCTCGTTTTAATGTACAACGAGATTTTCCTGGACAAGTGTAAGCTGGTCACAGAATAATTTTTATGCATTTCTGATATGGAACTCGAACAGAGGATTTTAAACTTGATGATATGGTTGGTTTTGTTGTCCTATGATCAAAAGGAGATGCATGTGGCATTTTCCTCTTTTCAATTTTGTAATTAACTATTTTGAGAGTGCCCAATGAGAATGAGAAACAGTTATCAAACATTTGGCAGGGTTATTGTACAAATATAATTTCCAAAGCATGATTGGCTGAGTCTGTGAATATGATTTCACTTTTGGGGAACACTTGGCTGTATTTAGTCCATTAAGTCATGCCATGCTTGAAACTGGAGATTCTACACCTGTATTAACTGTCATTTTCCTTGAAAATATTTGCTAGATTAGTCCATGAGGAGCCCTTTCTTTTGTTTTGTTTTTTTTTTTTTTTGGGTTGGGGGGGAGGGATTGAATGATCAATCTTTTAACTGGTGTTTTGGAGGGGTTGAAGGATCAAATCATGTCCTTTCTATTATACATTTATTTTCTGCATTTTTGCACCACGTTCGTAGTCTATTTTATTAAATATACATCACTAAAACAATATCAATTATTTGTTATCTACCCCCAAGCAATTAATTTTTACTCACTTGCCAAATAACAAATACATCAATACATGTGATGCACTTGCATAAGAAGTTATACTATTTGTCTTAGGGAGAACAACCAATTGGGCATATTTATGTAATACAGTCTCTCTTATTGTTGTTGTTATTATTATTTATTCTCTCTTTCTATCTGTGAGACTTTTTTAAACAAGTTTTTCATGTTTCTTAATAGAATACACATCAAAATTTATAAAGTATTCATTAGTTATTAATATGTTCGTCTCAAACGTGTCTTTCATAGTTATACCCCTATCTACATCTCTGAAAAAATATGCTTAACCTTGGGATGTAAGACAACATTTTTGTGAAGTGTAATATTAAAAGTTATGATGATTTTTGATAAATTAATAACATTAACTAATTTTAATTATTTTTGCTGAATCTGTGATTTAATTATAAAGATCTAATAGATATGTGCTCCCTTCAGCACTAATTATAAAGTTGGGAGAATTTCAGTTAAGGACCACAGTAGACAATTTATATTAATCAAGGACTAAGACTTTCTGAAATTTTACTACAGGACCAAGGGACCAAATTAAAATTAAAGTTTAGAGTGAGATTACAATAATACCCCTTCTTTTTTATTTTATTAAAAAATAAATATTAACTGGAGATACTGTTCCGGCCACCGGCGCTCCGGTGGCCGCTGCCGGGAGTCCAGCCACCGGTGGCAGGAACAGTAACTCTGACCAGCCTCCGGTGGCCGAAATTTTTTTTGTTTAAAACAGGGTGACGAAGGGAGGGTTTGAACCCATGACCCTTTGGCACACCAAAAAGTTTGCAACCACCAAGCCAAGCAACCCATTCAAACATAAAATGCAAATAAAAATAGATATAACAAAACAAATGCAATTGTTTAAGTGTAAGTGAACAAGTAAACTTAGACGATTTACAAGTGGAATTCAGCAATTTACAACAAAAATTAGGCAATCTACAAATAATATAATAGAAGTCATAATCCCAAATGCAAGTGTTTAAATGCAAATAAGCAAGCAAAATTTGAAGATTTACAACAAAAGTTTATGGATTTACAACCCAAATTTAGCAAACACAAGAGAATGCATAACCCAAAATATAAGTGTTTGAATGTAAATGAACAAGTGAAATTTGACGATTTACAAGTGGAATTCAGCAATTTACAACAAAAATTAGGCAATTTATAAATAACATAATCGAAGTCATAACCCCAAATACAAGTGTTTAAGTACAAATGAGCAAGTGAAATTTGAAGATTTACCACAAAAGTTTATGAATTTACAACCCAAATTTAACAAACACAAGAGAATTCACAACTCAAAATATAAGTGTTTGAGTGTAAATGAACAAGTGAAATTCGACGATTTACAAGTGGAATTCAACAATTTACAACAAAAATTAGGCAACCTACAAATAACATAATAAAAGTCATAATCCCAAATGCAAGTGTTTAAGTGCAAATGAGCAAGTGAAATTTGAAGATTTACACAAAAGTTTATGGATTTGCAAGTGAAATTCGACAATTTACAACAAAAATTAGGAAATTTACAAATAACATAATGGAACTCACAATCCTAAATACAAGTGTTGAAGTGTAAATGAGCAAGTGAAATTTGAAGATTTACAACAAAAGTTTATAGATTTGCAAGAGAATTTCACTTGCTCATTTGCACTTAAACACTTGCATTTAAGGTTATGATTTCGATTATGTTATTTGTAAATTGCCTAATTTTTGTTATAAATTACTGAATTCCACTTGTAAATCGTCGAATTTCACTTGTTCACTTACACTCAAACACTTACATTTTGGGTTGTGCATTCTCTTGTGTTTGCCAAATTTGGGTTGTAAATCCATAAACTTTTGTTGTAAATTTTCAAATTTCACTTGCTCATTTGCACTTAAACACTTGCATTTGGGATTATGACTTCTATTATGTTATTTGTATATTACCTAATTTTTGTTGTAAATTGCTGGATTCCACTTGTAAATCATCGAATTTCACTTGTTCACTTACACTCCAACACTTACATTTTGGGTTGTGTATTCTCTTGTGTTTGCCAAATTTGGGTTGTAAATCCATAAACTTTTGTTATAAATCTTCAAATTTCACTTGCTCATTTGCACTTAAACACTTACATTTGGGATTATGACTTCTATTATGTTATTTGTAGATTACTTAATTTTTGTTGTAAATTACTGAATTCCACTTGTAAATCGTCAAATTTTACTTGTTCACTTACACTCAAACACTTACATTTTGGGTTATGCATTCTCTTGTGTTTGCCAAATTTGGTTGTAAATTGCTGAATTCCACTTGTAAATCGTCTAATTTTACCTGTTCACTTACACTCAAACAGTTGCGTTTGTTTTGTTATATGTATTTTTATTTGCATCTTATGTTTGAATGGATTGCTTGGCTTGGTGGTTGCAAACCTTTTGGTGTGCCAAGGGGTCATGGGTTCAAACCCTCCCTTGGCTAATTTGTTTTAAACAAAAAAAATTTCGGGCCACCGGAGGCCAGCCGGAGCTACTGTTCCAACCACTGGTGGCCGAACTCCCGGCAGCGGCCACCTAAGCGCCAGTGGCAGGACCTCTGACCTCCGGTGGCTGGAACAGTATCTTCGGTTAATATTTATTTTTTAATAAAATAAAAAGGGAGGGGTATTATTGTAATCTCACTCTAAATTTTAATTTCAATTTAGTCCCTTGATCCTGCAGTGAAATTTCAGAAAGTTTTGATCCTTGATTGATATAAATTGTCTTCTGCGGTCCTTAATTGAAATTCTCCCTATAAAGTTTTAAAACACTACTTAATCTAAATATAAGATAAAGATGTGGCAGTTGCACTTCTTTTTTTTTTTTAATTAGTGTTACCCCTTTTTTGTATATCCCCAAAAAAAAAATGCTTACCCCTCCTTAATTGCAACAAGTTGTTGTCATGATTAATGATTTTAATTCTTGGACATTATTATCATCATTAAGTTCAAGGAAAAGGAAAAATATTTTTAAAATTTTTTTTTTTTTTTTTTACAAATTTAAAGCTATCAACGGCTATTTTCTTACCGGGAGAAGTATTTATATTTATTTATAAAATTGGCAGTATGGAGTCATTGGATTACTTCAATGGTGGAGATATGAGCAAATAAGATCTGCTCGCCCCACAGGATCATTGCCCTGAAACGGTGCCGTATAAGGTCTCACTCGGATTTAATTTTACTCATTTGCCCAAACGAGCCGGAACTGCTCTGGTCGGATTGTTGAGGGCGGCCGGGAGAGCCAGAGAATGGTCAAAGAGATCGAAACTCTAAGCGAAGATGAAAGACGCGCGCTTAGAGGCAGTAAATTCGCTCCTCTTCCTTCTCTATCTCGCACTTCCAGTTCTCAGCCCAGGTTTTTTCATCTTCCTCTTCTACCCTCTCCCTTTTTTCCCTTCAGAATTATGCTGACATTAACTGTTGATCGAGTTTTGTTGTTTAAAAGGGGAAAAAATCTGTTGTTCGGATTCGTCGTTTATTGATTCCCTTTTCTCTGGCACCTTGAGATTTTGTTGTTCTGATATTGACTTTTTTTGGCCGAATTCTAATATGCCCATGAAGATTGGCTCATCCTGGTGGACCGGTGACCACAAACAAAGCGGCGGCATTAGCAAAGTTTCTTGAGAGAAAACTGAAGGAGCCTGATGGTTTGGCGTCTATTAACCCTGATCTTCTTGAAGTCGCTGTCAATGATGCCAAACAGACTGTTTTTGCTAGTAAGCCTTCGACTTTCGTTTTCTTTCCCCGTTTCCTTAGAAGGCTCGTTGTGTGCGCGTTTGGTATTAGTAGTCATCCAAGATATGTGCAAAAGTTGTGAATATGAAGATATTTAATGGAATGCAATTTGCTTGAGTGGCATATACTGATGGGGATTAGGAACATAAGATTACTATTAATGATAGTATATAAAGGTTGGTTATTGTGATTGTACATATTATATGAATGATAAATAAGAAGCAAATGTGCAATATCTGATTATCATATATCTTGCTCAGCTTGCCATAAACTGTTTTCTGTATCCATGTCCTGTTTTAAGAAATTCATTCACTTCGATCGATGGTCGTGAAGACATGATTTCTGTTGATCTTGGCCTGTTTTTTTCTTTGGTAGTGGTGGATAAATGAACCTCAATTTCTGAATCATTTCGAAAATTGTAAGATGCTTAGGGATAATATTGGGGAAATAAAAAAATTTCATGTTCGACACGTCATAACCAACTTCAATATCAATGAATATTAGATAGGACTCGTATCAGATTACTATAAGTAAATTTTTATATACTTGAGAATTTCGATTGCCCATTTGCAAAACATGACTTTTGGGTCTAATGATTAATTTTGTGCAATAGTCACCAACAGTTTTTTTTCCCCCCCTGGTTTTTAACAGCAAGCAGTACTTCGAATCCAGAAAGAAGTGTCCGGCACGTAGACTCCTTTGGTGACACTGACACTGAGGTGGGGTGCTTGATTACAAATTACTTCTAATGGTAGCTGAATATTTGTTCAGCCATCTGCTCTCATCACTTTCTCTAATTTGTTGCTGATCTTGGCAGGATTCTGAAGGTGAGAAGAATGAACTTTCTCAAGTGAAGGAATGTAAGAAGAGAAAGAACAAGAAGAAAAAAGACAAAAAGAAAAACAAAAAGCGGAAGGTCTTTGCTGGATATGCTTTGTTATTTGCATGTCACTCCTTACATAGTAACTAACTCGATTTGTTTTGCTGCAGAAAGTTGAGGATCCTGGACTCGCTGTCGTCAAAAAGCATAAAAAGAAGTTCAAGTTCTGATTTATTCTGGTTGACAGCCGCGGATGTTGAATCTACATCCTCTTTCATGGTTTGGACATCAGACATGGTTGCCTTGTAATTTGAGGTTTATACCATGTTTCTTGCGGGTTTTCAAATGGAGGATTGAGGTCAGTGGACTTTTGCCATGAGTTCCTCACTTGGGCAGCTGAATTACAAGCAACGCACGGAGTCAGAGGTACAGCTTTGGCACATTAACCTCCCAGATGATTTGCAAGATAAGATTATGAACTGTTTATTAGTCAGATTCTTTCAGGGGTTGGTGGTGTTGGCAATGTTATGGTAACTGTTCACAAATTATTAACTCATGATGGTCCAAGTTGCGGGGGAGGATGCTATGTCTCAGAAACGATATACTCCTCCGGTCCTAATTATAAGACCCAATTGACTTATTTGAGGAGATTAAGGAAGTAAGTTAAGTTGGTTATTTATAATAAATAAGTGTTGTCATTCCTAAAATATCCTTGCTAATTAAGTATATTGGCTAAAACTATCATTATTAGAAGGATTATCTTGGAAAAAAATGCATAAATATAAGTAATAAAATGGATTGGGGTCTTATAATTAGGACCAAATAAAAAGTCAAATGGGGTCTTATAATAAGGACTGGAGGAGTATTTACAATGGAAAGAAATGTGAATGTGATTTTGATTTCAGTCTTAAGACATTCGACATTAGAAACCAATTGCTACGTGAGATATCATATAACTGCTTCAAAATCCGTGAATTCTAATTCTCATGTGAGATGTCTCAACTACTACTCTTCATGTCTTTAATATAAGACATATTTAACTAATTTGATTAGATTAAGAAAGTTAGTTAATTATAAAAAATATGATATGTTTTTTCTAAAACATTATAATTATTTTTCTAAATATCATTCATTCCTCGCTTACTTGATTATAGTTAAGAGAGTATTTATAAGAGTAATTTAGGAAATATTAATAAATATGAAAAAATAAGTCTTATTTTTAAAACTAAAATTAACCTAACAACTAGATTTTATATTAAAAACAGGAAGAGTTTTTTTTCCCCCTGTACTTGTTATAAGATGTTACCTATGATTGGGGGTTAGATTTAGTTTTTCAAATTTATAATCTATTCAGCTAAATATCTCCACTCTTTGCATATATTAAGAGGATTTTTTATCAGAGCCATCATGATTAAAAAAAATTTACAAAAATTAACTTATATTTGTTATAATTAATTTAACTAACTATTTTAATATACTCAAATTAGATAAGTAATTTTTATATTAAAAACTAGAGGTAATATAAATAATTGAATCACATAGATGATAAAAATTGCTTAAATGTTATAAATATGATTAAAAATGCAAATTATTTTCAAAATATCTCATATAAATAATGGTCCGCTTACATGGATAATTAATGGAATTTGACTAATATATATTAATTAACATGAAAAATGATAATACATATTTTAGATAAGTTGTTGGAATTTCTTATAAATAAGAACAAGTGTTCTTTTCAAAAATTATCTTATAGAAGAGATTGGAGGAGGTAGTTTGCAATCTAAAGGTGCTTATTTGTATGTGTGCTAATCTGAATCAAATAAGTGGGCTCTCACTTTATTGCGAGGCCTCTAGTATTTCTCTTGGAAAACAATTTCTTTTCCATCATGCGGGGGAAAAAAAAGGGACATAATATTTTAGATGAAGAAAGTCAAAGCCATTTGCCTTGCGCCTGTTGATTCAACGAATCGTTTCTATCTGATCTGTAATGATTTTCTTTCAGTCACTTCAATTCGCTTTTTTTCTTGTTTCCAAAGAATGAAAAAATGGGGAAAATATTTCCACTTCATTCAAAACACTGAAGAGCTATCTTTTTTAGACTAAACCGATCTTTAATTCCTTGAATAAAACATCTCTAGGAAGAGAAGAGACCAAGGTGTGTTTCTTTCCCTAGAGAGAACAAGAAGTTATCTAGATATAGCAATAGTTTCGCGTAGCCACACCTTTTCATGTAGCACCAACACTGATATTTAAAGTGTTTTAATCAAATATATAGATACCCCATGGGTGGTTAATCAAGGCAATTGCAGTTTAGAGTATAAAGACTTACCAAAAAAATTATTAAAAAAAAAAAAGTAAAGTAGCACCCACTTCTCTAGTTTTATTTTTCAAATGCATCCAATACTTTAGTCCTATTTATGGTGCATTTAGCACCCTGATATTATTATGTGTTTTTAGTGCTTCCAGCACCCTAATCTTATTTATAATGTATCGAACATCCTAACCCATAAATAAGATTAGAGTTCTAGATGTAACTGGAAAACAACATCAAGAGATATTGGATGTGCTAGGAAAATATTGTCAGGATACTAAAATGTATCATAAACAAAATTAAAGTGTAGAATGCTACTTTATCCTAATTGAAAAAAAATATGGAGAAGCTAGGTAGTTTGGGTAGGTATGAGTGCCAATATCTGATTCCTGATTATGCCCATGCATTTCTGTATCTCTTCATATATTGGAAGATTCTTTGAACAAAATGGCTGCAAACCTGTGACTGCAGAATCTAACATATGAACAACGTCGGCAGGTGGGAAATGTCGCTCTGTACACTTCTGCAATTTGTTTTACAAAGATATGTCAGCGTGCACGTTAAGAATTTGCAACAAGATAATCAATAGTACTACCATATATTCCTTGATGCAGTAACAATCACTGTCTGGACTAGTCAGCATTTAAGTAGAGTATAACACCACACGACAAGTGAACTCCCCCCCCCCCCCCCAAAAAAAAACTATCAACGGTAAATAATTGAATCTTCAATAGAAATTATGAGGGGAGATTGACTTGAGATTGACCACATACAATGTTTATTAAATAGCAACAATGGAGGGGAGATTGACGACATACAAGCAGATAGCAATTTGAAGAGCCACGAAACTTGCCTGGATCATCAGCAAGGTGGCTAGACATTGAGAAATAAGTTCTGAGGGAATTTTCACTTCATTTTGATCAGATGAGCTGTTTAGCTCAGGATCTTGTGAATGATTATTTGACAAAGGCTTCGATTTACTTGCAGTCATCTGATCCTGAGAAGCTAGAGTGACATGAACAGAATCTGTGGGCATGAATTGCGAGGACAGAGCAGCTTGGTCATCCACTGAAAGCCGATTATTTATAAAATTAATTGACTCTTCAATTCCTTCACCCTTATCTTCTGTCTTAGTAAAAGACAACATCGCCTGCAATAATTGTTGAGAAACTGTAGTCAGAGATTGGAAAAACGATAGTGATACGACTCCTCAAGGATTAATGAAAATAGAAAGGAAATCATCTAGCAGCTGGTCATCAGTAATTCGGTATACAAACTAGTGTAAAAATGTTCACTTAATGATTGCTGAGTCAATCATCCAAATGAATCTTCACAGATGGTGATCCAACCATCCAGATTCATCAGTGATGCAGGCAGATCGTGTATAAAAATAATAACACCACAAAATTTCAAGCATTTGGCTTGACCAAACATATCGGCTGTATAGGGATGACTGGAGTTTAGTGTTGAGTTCACTTTAAATATGCAGTGCAGACATGCCGTAATTATTCACAAAGTGGGCACCCTTTCCATACCTGCATAGCTGCACCAACCATTGTGCGGGCTCTTCTTTTAGAACTTCCAATAATTTCAGCTATATGAGATTGAAAATTTTGGTTGTGAGAAGCTGAACAATACGAAGAGCTAGTTTGACCGCCAAGATCATCCGAATTAGCTAGGGGCCTTGGTGATAAATTAGAGTTCCCCTGATATGTGTTATGCTGTCTCACGCAAAACAAGGCAGAAGAGACCTGCACAAATGAAATCCACTTAGGAAGTTGCAGATAGGTGAAGACGGAAGGAAGGAAAGATTATATGAAATTAACTGTGCAATCGTGTGTCAAATTTTTGTGCTATCGTGTGTTAATCGTTCCATGAATTTCATGCCTGCTCGTTCACTTCATTTAACTGCAACAATACTGCAGCATAATGTCTCTTAAATGGCTCTGAATCATTTAAAGAGTGGTCCCCATATTTCCGTCTTTCACATGCCTCATCATTCATTTTCTTCAGTTCAGATAGCACAATTTCCTATAAGTTCACAGCCATAAGCTCATTACTTCGATACGAATATTTGAAAGGCAGATATTTTTCCTGTATCACAACAAAGAGAAGTTTAGAGACGATGACTAATTATTCATTAGGGAGTACCTTTTTGTCAAGAGCACGAATCAGCTCAAAAACAGCATTTGTGCCAGCTTCTTTGAACGGGACATTTACATGAAAAGAAGCTTTAGAATTTGCTGACAGTCGAGCGTTACCAATCTCATTGCAAGCAACATTAGCTTGCAATTTGGAACTTGAAGAAATGCCCTGGAGAAAATAGAAAGAAAAGAAAAGGACAAATTAAACTACTCAGGAAACTTCGACAGCTCATCATAATAAAATTGGTAAGTTGATTCTACAATACAGCTGGAAGACACATCAACAGAAACCAATCTAGTCAGATGAAAATAGAAGACATTGTTGATAATGTGAGATTGATTATTTTGGTTCTCTAAGAAACACGAATGTTTGATCAGGAAAGTTATGAGTAAGAGGAACCTATTTTCTAGGAAAACAACAGACAGACAGACATGAACAATCAGTGCGGGGCATTTAATGGAAGGATTAAATTGTTAGGGCACCTTTGATATATGAAATGGAATGGAAAATGGAACGAAGTGATTTCTATAACGCAAAATAACCCATGTGTCCCTACTTTGAAAAAGTAAGAAAAATAAAATAATATTTAATAACGACAACAAAGATATAGTAAAAATTACCCAAAAAATAAAAATAAAGGAAAAGGAGTTTATTCTCTAACACAAACCAAAAGGAGCATTAGTTTTCTCAAAAAATAAGCTTAAAAATCTTTACAGCTTTGATTTTTATGGCATGAGTCGACCTGAAATCCCTTTGATGTTTATAAATTATAAATTTATGCATTACTATAACAAATTAAGTACTATAGTGAAAATAACAATAATGGAAAGTAATACGCAGGCACGAATATATGATATTAATTAATGTCGTAAAAATAGGGCAAATTAAGGCAAAAGGCGTCTGGTAAAATAAAAACACAAGAGATGAGAGTTTTTTTTTTTGTTTTTGGCTAAAGCATAGGCATCCTCCTATTGGAGGCAATCTAATTCGAGACACTATCGAGCATTGAATGTGGGCATCTCTCCCAGCGGGGATTCAAATCTTGGTTCGCCACATTGTGAGGAACTTGCCCTTTCTGCTAAACCCAACCCCTGTTGGTAGTTTTTAAAAAATAATAATAGGATAAAGGACAGGCAGCCCACCTAGACTGACCACACAGATGAGGTGGGCATGCCAGGCTCTTGTAGTCACCTAGACTGATCACACAGCATGGGAATATATAAAGAATTGCACCAAATGCCACAAAGAACTGCACCAATTGCCATGTGGCATCTAATATTCTATATGGGGAATTTGTTTCTCGCGTAGTCAGTTCTGATATATTAGAATAGGTTGTAGCATATCGTGGTGCAAAAGCCTACTACCACGAATTGGGATTAAAAGAGATTGACAAAGTTTCTTATCTCAAGAATCAGTATTTTTCTAATGCACACTATTTAGCCATAAAGAATCAAATTATAAACCGGGATATACAAATCCTTATTTTGAGCTCCAAGCATGCGTAAAGTCATAATTACTGTATGAGCAGATCTCTGCATTCTGAACACAGTTAACTACGCTTTACTGAAAATTTCAGATTGGAGATATCCTTACAAGGAGTTCACCAAACTTCTCATACAACTGAACTCCATATTGGTTAAAAAAATTAGTTCGCCCTAAGGAGTCATTTGAAGAGGAGATATAAAGAGTCTTGGTGTAAGAGTTTTTAGCAATAATTAAAGAACCGATCTTCCTTTACAATAATAACCAGAATGCAAATTACCTTACACTTCAAAGTATTTAAAACCATAAAATAAAACTAGCAGAATCTGCATTCCATCTGAATATAAATTTGCACCTGTTTCAATAAATTGTTGACGCCACTAGCTGAGGGAGTTATATGAAGAGCATCAACATGATCTAAGTTCCCGCTAGGGTACAATATTCTGTGCTCCTTAATCTTTCCTCGTTTCAGTTTCCCATTAAGGTGGAACTCAATAAGGTTGCCATCTAGTTTAGCAGGAATCACATTGTACCTTATCAGAGATGCTGGCATATTTTCATAAGGATTCAGAGGCATGCAGTCAATATCCTGCCATATAAAAATACTTTCGTGAAATTATTCTTTTATTACTGAAAATTAGAAATAATAAAACAAGGGGGAAAAGTTGAAGAAAGAAGTTTCGTAGAGAAAATTCAGTGAAACAGCCTCTACAATGTGTGATTATGCATTTGATGTGAAAAAAAATTCATTAACATTAGATAGATAGCAGCAATAAAATTCACTATCTTTTACATATTCTGACAGGGATTGATAGCATTTCAAGATGTTAAAGAAATTTGAGCCATTGTGGAAAAAAGTATTCAGCGCATATGCAATTCATGACCAATATTCTGACGTAAATAACAAGTACAGATAAGTTCCTTAAGGGTTACAGTCTGTTCAACATCACTAGATATTACATCCTTTGACCTGGTTCCACAATTCATAAACGTCTATAGTCAGGCATCTTTGCAAAGAATTAAATTGAGGCAACTCAATAAAAGCCCAATTTTGGAATTTTTTTCCATGCATAAAATGTCGAAGTTAAAAATTATTTCAGAAGACCTACTAAGGAAGTATAGGAAAATAATATTGAGGGATTAGTAATTATTTATAACTTATAAACTAGAGATTAAGGAAAAGAATGGGAACTAGAAATCAATTAATTGGTTTGAATTTAGTTATCCTTTTGTCAATTAATTAAAGCAGTTAAGCAAAGAATACCATGACTAATTCAACCCCCAGTTCAGGCTGGTCAAATTGAACCCGACATGAACAGTTGTCAACAGTTAGTATACTCCCATCATGAATCTCTCTCGTCTTTGGGTGAATGGCAATGACACGCTGTCCAACAATTAAAGGCCTGGCCAAATCAGTTGGAAGGCAATCCCTGGTACCAGCAAGAAGTTCTGCATAATGTGCCCTAACTGAGTCCCGGTATTGATTTAACTTCGATTTTTCTTCTATCAAAAATTGCTCAGAAAATCTCCGGGGTCTGCCAAGAGAACTGCACAAGAGTAACAAACACATGAAATACCTTGAGACTTTAACAAGAATGAGACAATAGTATAGCAGCAAATACAAATAGAATCACTTGGGACAAAATACCTCCTAATGACTCCCCACTCTACACGACTCAGTCTAGGAACATGCCCCAATCCAACATGGTCCAAGTACTCCATGAACTCCCTTTTTGCAAACCATGGGTAATCTATAGCACTGTAAAACCACTCAAAAGTGCACCATCGCCGTATTTGATGTGAAGACAGGCAATTAATAAGCTTTTCCTGCAATAATGAAAAAAAACATCTTTGAAATCAGATTGAAAAATTAAGTCAACATCCATTTACATAAATGATGGATAATCAACCTTGTGGCTTGATACACTATTCTGGAGAATGGGTTTTCTATGTTGACCACTAAAAATACTTTCTGGCACCTTTATATCTTGTTCTACCATTGGTTTTGGTTTCTCCATCTTTCTTCTATGCCTTCCTTTGTTTGCTAAACCAACTTTATCTGTAGATGAAACTTCTATGGGTAATAGCAGAGAATCATCCCTTCTTCCTTTGTCCTCATTACTTGAAGACATCATTCCTGGGAGTTGCACCTTTGTCCTCATTGCAAGATTGTCACTTATCATCCTCTGTCCAAAATATTACAGCCATCTCCAAGATTGGAATCAAGCGAAACACTAAATTGCATTGAAAAATGGACTAAAATTTCAAACACCTGTGACATACTCCCTCCAGTGTTATTTATAAGCTTCAAATTTAGAGATAAGTGTGTTCCATTTTATGAGCTGGGATTTTTTTTTTAACATTTACCGCATTTTTTCTGATTTTGCCCTTAATTTTTTTTTTTTTTTGTCTCTCCTTTATCATACTCTCTCTTATCACATTTCCCCGCACATCCTCTTTCATCATCTTTCTCATTTATTATGAGGGCATATTTGGAAACAAAACTATATTTCTAACCTATTTATTGCTTTTAACTAATGGTTCATTATTGTAAATTAGTTATTTGAAGCTTATAATAAGGACCAGAGGGAGTACTTAATATACTAGCAGGAATAGCTGCATACCTTGATCTTCTGTGAACCACTTAAATGAGAACTGGTTTGAGTTTCGTCATTCTGCAATAAGATCCAAGCTTACTTGCATATTTAATGTCAAACATCAAACAAGAGATACAGAGGAATAATAGCTATTAAAAAATAGTCTTCATAGCACTTTGATGTGTCCAACTTTGAAAAGTTTGCATTTTGGTCTTCTAGATTTAGTGTGTTTGGCGATTTGAAAACTTTTTTGCTGACATGTTGATATCTTTGCTGATGAAAAGATGACCAGGAAGGCATCCAGTCAGCAGAAAGGGTGCCACACCAGCAGCATACAGACAGAGGGACTTAATAGCACCAATTTAATTCAGAGGGATGCCTTGTTCAAATTGATACTAGGGGTACCCAATTGAAGCTTCTCAAATGCAAGGGGGACAAAAACTCTAATTTAAGACTAAAGGTAAAAAATAAAAATAAAACTACAACTAAAGGCTAGAATTTTGTTGATACTTACTTTCAATATTGAAGGTGTTTGTCTTCTCTTCCTCTTTCTAGCATCAAGGTGGAAGGTGCCCTTTTCTTGAGGAACAAAAACTTCATTACCAGGAGAAACCAAACTTAATTTACCTAAAGCAGTGCTTTCATCACTCACAATCGTATGATGGGTTTCCACTTTAGACTCATCAACAGCTCCTTGGTTTTCTTCCCTCACCCGCACAAGTGACTCTGAACAAACAGAAAGCAGCATATTAGAGGATCTAAACTCTCAAAATATGATGAAAGCAAATAGGTATTTGTAAGCAATGCTAAATTATAAATTGAAAATCAGAATTGTATGAATATCCAAGAGTATACAGCATGAACAAACTATGATAGAGGACACAAAAAGACATGATAGAAAGGAACCAAGGGCTAATAAAAAAACTGACTAAGAAAAGCATGAAAACCATGAGACAACACTCAGAATGCACAACAGTAAACAACATAGTTCTTGCAAGAATCTAATTTATTTTGAAATCACCCTTGTGTGGAAGAAGCAAAGAATAGTTAGATGAAACTGCATAAAATTATCGGTGAAGACTTAAATGTCATACCGGGGTCAGGGTTTGCGACTGGCATCATCAAAGATAGACCAGCCAAGGCTTTCAAAGCATCAAAAGAACCTTCATCTACAAAAGGAGGAAAAAAAGATAAATGCGTAACACCATACTTCAAATTGGAACCAAAAGTGCACACTTTAAGACAAACTAATATTAAGCAAATGATGAGAATAAAAACACAACGTAAAAACATTCTCATTCAAATAAGTTTTATGTCTTACTATCAAATAATTAGACAACATTTATGGTCCATTTGATTGGAGGGATTTGGAGGGGGAAGGAGGGATTTTACTCCACTTCCTCATTTGGTCCAAAATGTTATCCCTCCCCTCCAAAAGTGGGGGAATTTGGAGGGGAGGGGCTCAGCCCCATTTTATTATGACTAAGTTAACCTCATTGTTTAATGATATTCTCGTATTGCCTTTATGTGTAACTCAATGAACTCACCTTCACAGGTGATCTATTCAAATACAAAAATTTGCTATATCTTTCTTCTGCATTCTCTGATCACAGATAACAATGGCAATTTTATATTCTCTCAGTAACCAGAGCACAAACCTTTGATTCCCCTCTTCTATTTTTATGGAACATATAAAGAAGAAGAAGAGACTATACATCTTTACCCAGCAGCACCTACTATGGACAATGTAACAAAATATCATCTATTTCTCATTATTTTCCTATTTCTTAATTAGATAAATAAACATTCATTCATAAGACGAGAGCAATACTTCTATATAATCCACTGATTAAGAAGTTAGGCAATATATTAGAGTCTGAGATCCTTTGTTCAATAAACATACAACATGCTCTGAGCAGAATTTAACAGAATTCAAGTTCGAAATAGCAAGCCTACTTAACAGCTACAAAAGGGAACTTAGTGAAGGGAATTATTGGAACCACAAAAATACCTTTTTTATTACAAAAGAAATAAGCTTACCTTCTTTTTCAAGCAGTACTTTTTCACTTTTCTTCCTGAGACTCTTGAAGGAGGACCTAGTACCTTTTGTGGCTGCAAATTTAATTTCAATTTTATCCTTGGTTAAATCCAGTCCTTTATCTTCGTCTGTCCCACTAGAAGCTTCCTTTACACCATCCCAATGCTTATTCTCATTTTCTCCGAGTTCTAACTTTTTTCTGTAGTATTTTGTTCCCTTTTCTTCATTTTTTCCTCTTCTAGCTCTTCCTCTGCTGCTCTGTTGACTCAGTTTCCAAGAATAATCTCCACTGCCGCACCCTGTGCTTCGTAAACTTAATTCAGGGCTACCATCGTTCAAGTCAAAATGGCAAAATTTGGATCCTGCTACTTCCGATTTAGTGTTCTGAAAAACCATAGTTGTCCAGAGTTATTAGTTCATCTTAAAAAAATATCAGACAATACAAGCGGACAAACTACATACCTTCCTCCCATTATTCTGACAGGGTGATGACATAATACCCTTAGATTTATTGTTTGTTGAGTCCGAAACTTTGGAAGTATCACCTATTTGTAAAGCCTCCGTCAGTGCTAAAGCAATTTTATGACCAACATCATTACTGTCAACCATTTGCCTGTAACCTTGCCTAGCAGGTGAAAAACACTTTCTGCCCATATCCTTATGAATGGAATGTGAAACAGGGACACGGGGAGTCCTTTTCCGAACAGCGTGAGAACTTAAACCTTAAAACAAAATCCCAAATAACAATAAATCATTAGATAAGAACATTGATAGAAGTCCCTTTTAAATATAAAAATAGACATTAGACACTCCTTAAAATTAAGAGAGATGTAGTCTTTCCAGAATTGAAGGGGCTAACAGAAGAAAATTTGTGCCAGTGTATGTGCGACATGTTTCCAGCAGGAGGAAACATTATTCAAAGTTCCTCAATCTTAATGTAAGAATTGATGTTTTAAAAACAAACACAAGCTGAAGCAAGAGAGAAGAGAATGGAATCAAAGTAATCTTCATATGCATTCAGAATATCAACCCACCAGAATGCCTCTTCTTCAACAATGACAGGCAGCCGTCACCTGATGTAATTGAATGTGACTGAGAATGATCTGAAAAATCTCCATCTGATGCTTTATAGTTCCCATATGAACATTTCTGCTGCGAAAATTTTGGAGGCTTTTTAAATTTTTCCGTATCTTCGTTGGTTTCTTGTCCACTATCACTTCCTCCCTGCCAATTAAAACATTCATATTATATTTGCATTTTATCGTTTCCAAAATTTAGTCATTACCCTTTGCAAATCCCAAGCCTTTTATAAAGTACACAATTATTTCCAAAAGTAACAGCACTAGCAATACAATTTATGATCTCATGAGTGATTTGTTTATCATGGTATGGGAGGGCTTACAGATCAGTGAGCTGACTGGATAATAACCCTATACAATTATTATTAAGTAAAAGGCAATCCTCGTATATTAAAAATACTAGAGGAAACAAAGAACTTGTGAAAAGAACTGAAATAAAGGGTGAGAGAATCACCTATATCATAGCTGGAGGCAAGGTCAATTAGGAAACAGAACCTCAAACCAACCACAAGAATGTTACAGAAAAAGTAATGCCCGAGTAAATATTCAATGTAGCTTTAAGTTGAAATTCAAGCTTACCAGTACACTATAGTGATCGGTCATCATTGCTATGAGTCCAACTACAGAAGCAGTGCCCTCTGGAAGAGACAAGTATGCCTGAAAATAAACCCAGAACAATCTTGGTTTCAAAACAATATACAAATTAAGCAAAACCCAGTATATCAAAATGTGATATTATGCATCACCAAATAACCCAAACTAGTGAAACTTAATTGAAAAATGAAACAATTTTTGTCCACAAAAAGCGCAACAGGGAGGATTCCTTTATCATAATGAAGGTTCGCTTGAAGCAATATTTCCTTGCACATCATTAACTACTTCGTTTGTTTGCAATAATTGCATCTATGAGCTGGTTGCCAGCAATTAGACCTTTTTTGTTTTAATCAACCCATAAACTTTAAGATAGGAGAAGAAAAGAAAGAATAACAAGCCAGAGGCATAATATATGAGATAAAACGTAACTACTAATTAGTAACAAAAAATATTAAAATGAAAAAAGTATTACTACTCTGATTTTAAGAAACAAAGAAATAGAAATATTCAATTTCATCTGCTAATTTATTTCCTATTTCATATGATTATTTTGGGAAGATAAATTTACACAAACCAAGACCAAGACTTCTTAATCAGCTTCTATATGTGACTGCGTGGTATGTTTTAGAATCAGTGTCGGTGTGATATGCATTTAGCAATGTGTACAAGTTAATCAGCATGTCTAGAATATTGCTGCACCTACTCGATTCATAGAGTACAGAGCTTCTACCATTTCCAAAGACCTATGATACACTGCAGCAGCCACCTGTAAGCAAAGGAGAAAATTTTTGGTACAGGACAGAATGTCAGACAATGATAGTTTGCTGAAAAAGGTAGATTCACACAGCTAGATACATGCCAATGGCTTTGTAGCCTCCTGGCATAAAACCTCCTCCGTAGGTGGGAGGTTGTATCTCAGGCCATTTTTGCCTGTCCCTCTAAATTTATTAAAAAAAAAAAAAATCATTAGATACATGCTTGAGCCAGCAACTTTACATGCAATTAGGCAATGTCAAGTGCAGGCATACCGCTTTTATAGTAAACAAAAATTTCACCTTTCATTCCAACCTGATTTAATAACTAGCACCTCATCACTGAAAAACTAAACTAACCTTCTTCCAGTCTTTCCCATATTTACGGTAAGCATCATAGAAACGCTCAAGCTCCTCCTTACTCCATTTTGGTCCTAACATGTCAGCCAATTTTCTCTTCTGTGTATCATTGAAAAGTAATTACGAAATTTGTGAGAAAGCAAAAAATGCTGAGCCAAATTTAATACGTTACTTCTTTCTCTTAACTTAGAAAACTCCTAAGGAGACACCAGAAAAACTGTTATGATGACAACTTCTTTTTATTTTCATTGGCAAGAGTCATAGAGGAGAAGGGATGAAAGAAAAGGGGGAAAGGCCTGATACCAACCTAACTTCTAAGATCCTTTAAAATGAGCCCCAACTTTATAACACATAAGCAATATGCATGCATAAATGCACTTTCAATGCAGCCATTGAGAGTAGGAAATGAAATTGCTATACACTGAAAAACCAGAGTATTAAAGCACAACTTTTGTGCTATGTTATGTTCCACTACTACAATGGATTAAACTGGCAGCAAATCCCTTCAAGTGAAAGTCCTTTGGGCTTAAAGCTTGAATTACAAACAGGGCCTCCATATGCCGTATCAAAATTGATTTAATTTCAGACAATGGGCTTCGTGATCATGAAGACTCTGATACCATGTTTATGGTGCATGTGCAAAGAGGTTGGCAAAGTTTGCTAAGCTGATTAGTCTTTCTTGCTTATATTGGCCCTTGTGTGATGTTTTCTTTTAGCTTCTTCGTATGTAAATCTAATCTATTCTTAATAACATTGTCAAATATCTATAAACAAAATTAATTAATATTGAGCAACATCACAAAGAGTACATCCACATACATCATCGAATTGCTCTTGTAACTTAGGTGCTTTGGCATTACTATTGGAATTTATCTTCCAGTTATTATAAGCAATTCAAAAGCACAAAATGGTCATAGTTGATGGATCCGCACATCAAAAGTTAATCATATAACCTGTCTCAAAATCTGACCAGCTACACAAATAATGTTCAGAGCATTATTATTTTGGATTAAACTCAATGTCTAATCTCGCATGAATTAAAAGTTAGGATCACCAGAATGGCATCAAAAGTCAAGCAATTTGTTAAGCGAAAAATACTAATGCAGAAATATAGAAATAGTATTAAAAAACCCAACACTGGCATCTATATATAAGTGAGACTCTTCCTTACTAACGTACTATTGTGTGTGAACGCATGTAACCAAAACAAGATATACAGTAGCCTAAATAGAAAGCTCAACAAAAAAAGCACCAATATGCAAGTTAGACACCAAACTTTAACATATATGATGTTCTTCCTTATTGTAAATGAAGTTATGCGTAACGAGAAAAATTCTTTGTGAATCATTTTAGCACCAATCATACCTTCTGAATGCCAGGACTACCCTGTGCCCTAGTCTTGTTAACATTCTCTCTATTTTTTTCTTCATAAGATACAGCTTCACGAATATTTGAAAATCTCTTAGTGACACTTTTGGATTTTCTAGATGGAGCCATGAGTAGTGCCTTGGTTTTCTGAAATTACCAGAAAGACAAATTACGAAAATCACAATTTTCAAAAGAATTAAGATAAAATGAAGTAGATATAGACTACAACAACAATTGATAAAAAGGCAAAAAAAAAATCAGTTGCACACTGCCGCACTAAACACATGGAGAATCAATGTAAAGAATATTTTGTACTTCAGAATCTAATGTTTGTTGCAGATGAACAACGAATGAAACAGGTTAGTGTTTATTGATGAGAAATCACAAGTTCGAAACTAGAAGTTGCTTCCCACGGATCAATGAAAGAGTACCAGCTAATGACGAGTAGAGAATATTTAATAGGCAGGCAGTTGCCTTCACACGACCCAAACAACATAGTTTGAAATATTGAACATATAATCAGCAATTCGGAGCCACACCAAAGGATTCATGATAAACAAAAATTAGATACAAAAAGTTGAAACACCCTTGTCCAAGTTACGTAACCAGTTCATGTGTCACTTATGTAGAAAATATTTGTCTCTCTAATAAAAGATCAAATGACAGCAGAGGAAGCACACATTGAAGTTTCAATGCCAAGTCCGAACTGAGAATCGAGATAGAAAAATTACTACTCATCGAGTTGAAAAAGAGAAGAAAGGATCACGGCTACACTAAATTTGGCAGCAGAGAAACAAGTAGAAGGAGAAAAGTTGCGGCATGTCGGAGAAAGAAAATCATAAACACGACCAAATTGCATACAGCTTTCAACAAAAATCATCTCTCTGGTCGAAACGCTGCCTTGTACTTCAGTTTACGTCCATGAAGAAACTGAAACCAGCGCGAAATTCTAAATTCAGAAAATTTTCCTTTTATTCCTCTCGATCTAAGTTTTCTCTGCAACCATATCAGACTATAGCAACCCAGAAAATCTTCAAGAATTGAAGTTTTCGACTCTGACAGACCAGAAAGTCCTGTTTCCCGAATCACTGAAACGAATTGAACATGGAAGAAAATTGAGCATCAACAAAATGCAAGCTCACCTATAGGGCGGGCCTTTACATGATGAATCAAAGATTCGAAACAAAGCTGTTAGATTAGAAAGCGATCAAGTGGCGGGAGAAACTAGTGACATTGACAGTACTGATGATTGTTTGATTGGTAGAAAAACCGCGATGGGGTGTCGTGTCGGAGTCTGGGGTGTTAATTAATTCATAATTAATAATCATTAACAGTAATAAATTCCACGTCATAACCGCGAAACTGGGGAAAAAAATACTCGTATATATCAATATCAATATTATTATTAACATACTAACTCTTAATCTGCTCCCTGATGAAAATAATAATAATAATAAGATCTACTTAATTAATTTGAATAAATTAAGAAAATTAATTAAAGTTGTTTATTTTTAATGAACATGGGTTAAAATATCAAAAACACTTTTCGCAAAACAAGATAAACTCCTCTGTATATTTACTTCGTAGACTGTAAAAGCACTTTTAAAATTATGGTTTAGTTTCTACCCAAACACCCCCTAAGTGTATTAAATATAATTATCATATCATGAAATCTTTATCATGTGTAACTACTACAATAACTCTCTTTAAAAAATAGATAAATATGAGAGACAGAGTGAATTGAGATCTATATTTAAAACCAAGTTAAACGTCAAATAAGCTTTTATATTAAGGATAAAGGTAATATAAAATAGGGAGAATTATAATAAAGTCCCATAAGAAGAAAATAACTACCAAAATAATACTACCTCCGGTCCTTAATATAAGATCCTTTTTTACTTTATTTTGATCCTAAATATAAGACCCCAGTCCACTTTGTCTTTCATATTTATACATTTTTTTCTAAAGTAGCCCTTCTAATAATAAGAGTTCTAGTCAATACACTTGATTAGCAAGGATATTTTAGAAAATACAACACCTATTTAGGACAAATAACTAACTCAACTTACTTCCTTAATCTCCTCAAATTAATCAACTAGCTCTTATAATTAGGACCGGAGGTAGTATATGAGAAGTTGTTATTTCCTCCGGCAAACTAAAAATTACCCCTTCTAATGCTATTTATAAGATTCAAATTTTAAAACGTGTATGGTTATTTCATAAGTTTCTATTTGATGTTTGTTTTAATATTTAATGCACTTTTATCAATTTTACCTCCTAGTTATTTATTCTCTCTCCTTTCCATAATCTTTTTTATCATATTTTCTCACACATTCTCTTTCATCATTTTTTTAATTTATTACAATGGCATATTTAAAAATAAAAGTATATATCTAACTTATATATTATTTTTAATTTATTTTAACTGTTTATTGTGAAGTAATTATTTAAAACTTATATTATCATTTAGATTTTTTTTTTGGTAATTATGCTCATTTGCTGACACTGGAGGTCAATTCTTCCTATAAAATATTAATTAGGCAAAAGTGATATTCTTATGGAGAAATTACAAATAAAGACATCAGAATATGTAAAATTATAATTTGGAACTTTAAATTTGAAAAATAGTAAATAAAGACCTAATTTTATTTTTGCAAATATGAAATGTGGATGAAATGTCTGAAATGCACTTCAACCAAATTGTGATTTTAGTCCACTAAAGTTATCATTCGTTAAAATAAATTTGTCATTTTTTATAATCAACTCGTCATTTGACATACCTTCAACCAAATTGTGATTTAGTCTAGTGAAATTATCATTCGCTAAAGTGAGCTTGTCATTTCTCATAGTCAACTTGTCATTTGATTGAGAGGTATTTCAGACATTTTACCCACATTTTATATTTGCAAAAGTGGGACTGAGTCTTTATTTGTCATTTTTCAAATTTTTAGTCTCAAATAGTAATTTTACATTTTTAAGGGTATTATTTGTAATTGTCCCTATTCTTATCAGGAAAAGTGATATTCTAACTGAAAATCACTGTATGATCCTAAAATGGAATGTAATTGTAAAAAAATTTCATAATGAATAATAAATGAGTAACAAGTTCTAGTATGAAAAGTAAGAATGTAACTTATGGTGCTCACTTATTATTTAAATTTTTTTAGTAATTATATACTACTTCCAATCCTTAGTATAAAACCTTATTTGACTTTTATTTTGGTTCTAAATATAAAACCCCAATCTACTTTGTTTCTCAAATTTATGCTTTTTTTTTCAAGAAAATCTTTTTAACAATGATAGTTCTAGCCAATACACTTGATTAGTAAGGATATTTTAGAAAAGACAATATATATTTATTACAAATAACTAACTTAACTTCTTTCTTTTTTTTTCTTTTTTTTTGCATCATAACTTAACTTCTTTCCTTGATCTCTTCAAAGTAGTCAACTAACTCTTATAATTAGGATTGGAAGTAGTACCTGATTAGGATCTCGTAGTAATTTTCCTAGACACATATAGTATAATCAAAAACCAAATACTGTAAATAACGCATCTTTTCATATATTTTTATGCATAATATATGTTTAATGAAATTTGGACTTGTTTAGAATTTTCGAATTCTCGTATCTATTGACGTAAAATTAATCCATCTAAATTTCATCCAAATCTATACATTCTCAAAAGCTTGAAATATTATTTATCCTGTGCATTGAAAAATCTAGCTCATAAGCTGAGAAACAAAGAAAATTATAGAATATCGATAGATGGGAATAAGACCATTTTTTTAAAAAAAATTCTAACCCCCCCCCCCAAAAAAAAAAAGTGGCATGCGTGTGAAGTGGATGTCAAGTCCCTTGGCAGGATAATATGACAAATAACATGGATATAAAGAGTAGAATTTTAGTAATAAGATGACAAAGAAAAATTTAGAAGATGGAAAAAGAGTAGTAATAAGGAATAGAATTATACATTGTATATCAAAATATAATAATATAAAAAAATTTAACTGCATATAAATGTGCGTTTTATTTTTATATCTAATACTTTTTCACATCTTTCTAATAATTTATGTAGGTTTTTTGGGCTAAATATATATATTCTTTTATTGAAGATAGTCTTATTCAAAATACTATAGTATCAAATGCAAACACCTTTTTCAATAAAAAATTAGATATTAATTTGTTATTTTGTGAAAATTTAATTAATATAAGAGTTTCAAACAAATAAAGGACCAAAAATATACAGGGACAAAAAGAGGCCTAATTTGATTTCAAAATTGGGCTTTACACACAGAGAGAGAGAGAGAGAGAGACACATAAACTGTGCAATGTTGGCCCAAAAAAAGTTTGCATTGGGTCCTCCTTTTCTATGGTTTTTTGTTCGGTTTCTCTTCTATTTCTTTTTATATTTCTCTTAGAAATAATATGCTCCTTATTTTATTTTCCTCTTTCTTTCTCAGGCTCCTCAGGTATGAGATTTAAATAAAAAAAAAGAAGGAAAAAAAAATCTTTTGGCCATCAAAAAGGAAAAACCTTCTTCAATTTTCTTTTGTAGACCGACAAAATTACCATCAATTGGAACATTTATGTGCCACATTTAATATAAAACTTTTAACGAGTTATACCCTTTTTTTAATCGATTTATAATTTTTATAAATAATGTATAATATGATTTTTTTTTATCACTTTGTTATTGACAAACAACGCCTATCCTAATTGAAAAAGTTTAGCCAATGGGAGAATTGGGCCAGTGCAGGTAAATGGGCCGAACTGGTAGGAGAACCCACTGTCCAAACACATCTCAGCCCGTTTCCCTTTAAGAAGAAAATCGACTACTCTCTTTTAGAGGCAGTGGATCAGGATACAAGAGTGTTTGACTGAAAACTAAATCATAATTTTTAAAGTAAGTTTACTGTACATTTTATTTATAAGCACTAGTTGACTAATTTGAAAATATTAAGAAAAAATTTAAATTAGTTATTTATAGTAAATAGTTGTTGTCTTCCCTAAAATATCCTTACTAATCAAGTGTATTGGTTAGAACTATTATTATTAGAAGGACTATCTTGGAAAAAAAATAGATAAATATGAAAGACAAAGTGAATCGGGATTTTATATTTAAAACCAAACTAAAAGTTAAACAAGGTCTTATATTAAGGACCAGAGGTAGTACTACGTCTGTTGCTTAATATAAAAGCTAGTTGATTAATTTGAATAGATTAAGAAAAGTAGTTAAGTTAGTTATTTGTAATAAATAGATGTGGTCTTTTCTAAAATATTTTTGCTAATAAAGTGTATTGATTAGAACTACTATTATTACAAGAATTATTTTAAAATAAATAAATAAATGTAAGAAATAAAGTGAATTGGGATCTTATATCTATTATTAAAATAAAAATCAAATAAGCTCTTATATTAAATATCAGAGGTAGTAAATATATGAGGAGAGTGAAACCACTTCTAAAAAAGTGTTTTTTTTATAATAATAACTGGATACTATTACCTTAAAAGTAAAATATTACAAGCAAAGTAACAAAGACTAAGCAGGGAAAAAAAAACTTTCTTATCATCCGCCGCCTATTGGAAAACTAGGAGGAAAGTGATCAAGGATATAAAAGATGATGTCGCTATTATGGGCTGATTTAGTCAAGTAATTAGCATAAGAATTATCTTCTCCACAAGCATGTTGAAAGAAGACTTACCAATCTTATTCAAAAGAAGTATTGTGTCTTCAACGATGTTCGTGAGAATCATGACAGCCTCTTGAAATCAGGTTAATAGCCTCTAAGCAGTCAGAGTAGATAACTATTTTCCGGAGGCCTTTGTTTCTTTTGTATGCCAAACACCTCCTCAATATTTATAATTTATAATTTTATTTAAATCCGTACATATTTATAGATGTAAGATGTAGGATTTGACCAAAACTGGTAAAAGCAGCCAGTCAAAGGTGTGCCACAAGTGGCAGGTCGCCTAGTTTTTTGAAAATGCATTTTCATTTTTAATAGCTAAAATTATGAATGTCAGGACCTTCTAATAATAATTAATAATATACTACTTCCGCTCTTTAATATAAAAAGTTATTTGACTTTTATTTTA